TCCTCATCCAATTGATGAATTGATAACCTTTCCAAATTTGGGAATGGTATCTTTAATCCAGAAATCAATCTGGGTGAATGCAGATTCGTCACTTCCAGGTTTTTAATTCCCCTGAATAAATCCTTCTCTTTCACAACATTTCGTAATGACTTGGCCAAGCTTGACTTCCTCGTAAAAATCCTTAAAGTTTCCAACCTTGGCATCCTTGCTGTGCAAATATCTTTCATTTTTTTATCCCCACAGCTAAAAATATCCAGCATGCAGTTCTCAAATACTTTAAGATTCTTCATTTTTGGGATCTGTAAATCAATTCCCGTCTTGAAGTCATCATCCTCAGTCCACAAGAAAAAAATTCTACAGTGTCCTTCACTTGGTCCAAGACCTTGTTGACTTTGCGAATATGATTAGTCTTCAGGAGATGTGGTTTGTGATATGGCATTTCCAACTCAAGCCTCTTGATGGACCGATTTTGACTTAAGTCTGGGAGCTGGGTGCCCTGGTAGAAGAAATGCGTCAGGTTTGGGGCAGAGTTAAGGAGCCATTGTGACATCTTGAAGAAGTCTGGGTACATAGTGTCATCACTTAGTTTGATAGAGATCAAGTTGTGCAGGATATAAGGGGGCAAATCTGGAAGATCGGATTCTTCAGGATCTTCAGAATCATTGAATTCCCAGTAGAACTTAATTTCTAGTCTTTTGAGGTTACTGCAGTTTTGCAGTATTTCGTACAACACAGGGATTTTGAGGAAAGCTTATTTAGGGCTAAATATTAGCGAAATGTTTTCTATGAACCCACCAAACTGACGGGAAACGTGGAGCAGTCGTGTCAATGAGAAGCCAAAGTCGTGGTCACGGTCACAATCGAGTGTAGAGACATACTCACTAATACTTTTTGTAAGTCTGGGGTCCATTTTAGGAAGCAATTCCAAATGCAATTCGGTGAAATTGCAGCAATTTCTCGAACTATGACTATGATGATCAAGGCGGACGCAGATCTTTGGCCGGGGAAGGGAAAGTACGATGTCATTCCAAAGGTGACAAACGAGCCGTAATGTTTCTCCAGAGAGGGGCCGTGTTCAAGTATTTTAGAGAGAATCTATTAAAAGGTTAAGGAATCAATTATTTATTACTTGATTAGGGATGAAAAAGCGTATTTCATACATTTCATTTTATTGTCCTTTGCGAGATTATTTCATACACATAAATAATTGATTCCTTAACCTTTTAATAGATTCTCTCTAAAATACTTGAACACGGCCCCTCTCTGGAGAAACATTACGGCTCGTTTGTCACCTTTGGAATGACATCGTACTTTCCCTTCCCCGGCCAAAGATCTGCGTCCGCCTTGATCATCATAGTCATAGTTCGAGAAATTGCTGCAATTTCACCGAATTGCATTTGGAATTGCTTCCTAAAATGGACCCCAGACTTACAAAAAGTATTAGTGAGTATGTCTCTACACTCGATTGTGACCGTGACCACGACTTTGGCTTCTCATTGACACGACTGCTCCACGTTTCCCGTCAGTTTGGTGGGTTCATAGAAAACATTTCGCTAATATTTAGCCCTAAATAAGCTTTCCTCAAAATCCCTGTGTTGTACGAAATACTGCAAAACTGCAGTAACCTCAAAAGACTAGAAATTAAGTTCTACTGGGAATTCAATGATTCTGAAGATCCTGAAGAATCCGATCTTCCAGATTTGCCCCCTTATATCCTGCACAACTTGATCTCTATCAAACTAAGTGATGACACTATGTACCCAGACTTCTTCAAGATGTCACAATGGCTCCTTAACTCTGCCCCAAACCTGACGCATTTCTTCTACCAGGGCACCCAGCTCCCAGACTTAAGTCAAAATCGGTCCATCAAGAGGCTTGAGTTGGAAATGCCATATCACAAACCACATCTCCTGAAGACTAATCATATTCGCAAAGTCAACAAGGTCTTGGACCAAGTGAAGGACACTGTAGAATTTTTTTCCTTGTGGACTGAGGATGATGACTTCAAGACGGGAATTGATTTACAGATCCCAAAAATGAAGAATCTTAAAGTATTTGAGAACTGCATGCTGGATATTTTTAGCTGTGGGGATAAAAAATGAAAGATATTTGCACAGCAAGGATGCCAAGGTTGGAAACTTTAAGGATTTTTACGAGGAAGTCAAGCTTGGCCAAGTCATTACGAAATGTTGTGAAAGAGAAGGATTTATTCAGGGGAATTAAAAACCTGGAAGTGACGAATCTGCATTCACCCAGATTGATTTCTGGATTAAAGATACCATTCCCAAATTTGGAAAGGTTATCAATTCATCAATTGGATGAGGACGCATCTCCGCTTATCCCAGTGGAAGCATATTTCAAAGCGTGAGCTTCACTTGGATTAAAATACTTGGAGATGGATCTAAGGACGTATTGTCATGACGGAAAAGTATCCCGATTTATTCAAGACTTTTCAAATCGTGGGGAATTATTGTCAGGTAAGAACAAAATTATGATACAAATTATGATAAAATTATTATTTACATATATTTGTACATGTAACGCTCGTGGTGTTCTTAATTGCTTTTATAAAACGACATTAGGTCTCAGAACTTTGGAAATATTTGTTCCCATCTATTCAGACGAATGCGATGATTTGGATCGTGTCGAAAATGGGAGGGCGCAGATGAAGCAGTGGCTCTTGGAAATGAAGGGATTGAACGATGTACATATTTCTGGAATCAAAGTGAGTCTTGCCGAAAGGTTTTTTTCAATTATTTAAAATTTGTATGTTTATTTTATGTTGAACTCTTAATTTTTTAAACAAATATTTGTAGTTCAAGAAAGAAACATGGAAATGGATTGAACCCTTCATTCACGAGAACAAGATTCCCATTGTGTTCAAGAAATATTGAACTTTTTCAAAAACTCGCAATTTAATAGCAAGTACAGTTAGGGCACAACAATTACTTTATAGTAGTGCTTTCAAAATCCGAGTTTGAAATTTAGTATAATTAGGGAATTATTAAAATTAGAATCCAAACCAAATTCCTTACGAATCGGAAATTTAAAAAATAGTATTAGTCACCTTATACCCTAAATTTAAATACTCTAATTAATGGAATTTGTATGGTAGGATTAGATTAGTAGTAATTCACACTTAATACAATTCTTAATTTAATTGAATACCAAATAATTACCATTTAGTCGAGTTGGCGAGAAATTATAGGAGTTATGATCAAATGCTTATCTAGATGCTTCAGCTTGTCATGATTTTTTTCTGTACGAAGAAATACTTATCAAAGTAAGACTGCTCATCTTATGCTACTTTATTTATGATATCGTAAAATAATATTAGGTCAGATAAAAGATTATTACAATTATTGGGGTCAATTATTTTAATGTCGAATGTAACGAAATTATTATTTTCATGTAAAAGGGAAATAAATCTTGTCATGCATGTATCACAAAATAGTTCAATTTATTTCAAAATTTGCTTATAAATTCATGTACTTAATTTGGAAACGAAATTTCCAACATTTATTAAATTACAAAATTGATTAGTTAATTAAAAATTTACTTATTTTAGCAAGTTATTAAAAATGTGCCCACTTAATCGCTTCAGCTTCTCGGTGGTAACTTGGAATAGTCATCTTTTTCGTCCAGGCTTTCTGTTCCTGGGGGAGTCGTCGTCACTGAGCAAAATATGTACTTTGTCGAAACAGAGTATTTCGAACCCCGTCCCAGGGTTTGGATTTCCAGGCGTGTTACACCCACAAAAAGACGAAAATCTGCATCGAGTAAGGTACAGTCTTTCGAAAATACAGGTTTTGTGAAGATTTTTATGGGGATCAAAATACTTTATTTTTAAAAACCTACTCCAAGCAACTTTGCGGGGCCTTTTAAGATGGCATTAATACCATCTTGGTAGTTAACGGCAACACATTTGGGTGGAAATGACCCCCACCAGCCAACCACTTGACCGATCATGCCCATCTTCGAATTCATTCTTACTTTTTACCCGAAGATAAAGCATGCAAAATTTCAAGTCGATAGCTTTTGTTTAAAGAGAGTTATCGTGCCTACAGACGGACGGACAGACAGACATCTTGACAAATCTATAAGGCCATCTTAAAAGGCCTAAAACTCGTGTAACCTTTGTACGTATTTTCGAATTTAAAGCTATTCTTCACAAAACCTCTATTGTCAACTGAATATTGTCTTCTCCATGTAGATTTCATCTTTTTGTGGGTGTAACAGCCCCTGGAAATCCAAACCCTGGAAAGAACGGAGCTCAAAATCCTCTATTTTAACAAAATATTGTGCCCACCTCTGCGACTTATTTGATTTACTTGTTAATTATACAAGTGATGTTTACTCTTAAAATATATCAGCAACTTTCCCGTATATTTTATCATGGCCATCACCAAATGTAAAGTGGCCATTCGCCCAATCGTCTGAAATGATGCAATTTTGACGCCCTCGGGTCGAAGGGACTTCAGAATTTTTTTATGATAGCGAGAAATTCGACAAATCTTCCATGCTCGAAGCGTTCTCTGGTACGAGATTGCCACCCTGCTGGTAATATTGCACTCGAATATGATGAATATCGTGCACATGAAGGATATCATGACGCCGATAAATTTCCCGATAAGTATGCTCGATAAGCGCGTCGTTATGTTGAGGCGAGACGTGATGACGGCATAATAAAGCTACATCCATAGTCCGTGATTTGCGTTGGCGCGTAATCTCACTCTGCCCCTATCCAATGTATTCAAATGCAATTTCTAAAATCGAATCAACTCCATGAGTTTTGAGATATATGCAACTTTTGATATTTTAATCTAAAGCTAATTTTTGGTACTATTACTTGTTAGTAGTACACTTTAGTACAAACAAGTCGATTTGAAAAAACTTAAAAAAATTCATTTTCTAGGAAATTTATAGTGAAAAAAGGCTAACGAATTGACTATTTCTTTCCAAATCGATGTGACAGGGAGTAAAATGTGATTTTAATTAAATCTTGATTAATAATAATTTATCCATTTATTTCTTTTAAAACTAACGCATACATTTTTTTACACACTACAAAATGATTCATGAACTAATAAATCTAAAACCAAGAATCATAGTGGAGTTATATGCAATGATGATTTGCGTACATGAAAATGGCATTTCTCATATGTAAATACGTGTAAAAACAAATTGTTCAAAGTGCTGGTTTGTATTTATGACTGGCAGAGAATCCTCCCGAGCAAAAGATCTGATTAATACTGACCAATGACCATCACTGTTCAATTCAAAGATGATTAAACTTTAAACTTCACGGTGATGCGACTTGACTTAATTCGACCGAGTCTTGCAGTGGTTTTCCCGTGCTGTCCTTCAACTTCCAGGATACCCCGACCGTGATAAGACTCAGTAATCCAAAGCTGATGAAATGGGCGGATTTCGCCACTAAAATTATATACAAAATTATTCATTGTTGTATTATAACTTATAAAGGAGGTCTCCGAGTGTATGCGATCCGATTTTGGGCAATTTAGCGTCAATCGATGATAAATTTAGTTCGTATGAAATTTGCGAAAGACAAGATCTCCCAATGGGCACGTTTTGCAGAGATATTTGCATCCGAAAAGGAACAAAAGCGCCTTAAAGTTGGCTAATTTTACACTTTGCAAAATTTACTATTTGAGTGTGAAAGCAAAATCTGGTATACATCCGAAGAGGAGAAAACGCCCAGTAAGTTTGGAAAGTGTAAAATTCGTCAAATTTTGGATGCGTTTTCTCCTCTTGGGATGTAAATACCTCTGCCAAACGTGTCCATTGGGAGAGAAACGTGTTTTTTTCAAATTTCACACTAATCAAATTTGTTATGCATTGACACTAATTTGCTCAAAATCTGAGAGCATACGCTGGGAGCCCTCCATTGTTATTTCATTTTGACCCATGCCAATAACTTACTCGTGCCCAGAAATGTAAATTGTGGGGCAAAAACTGCCCCAATGTTTCCACAAAGAGCGCACAACCCCATGCAACTAACTCGCCCCACGGTTGGGAAGGATTCTGCCGTGAAGCAGGACAAAACTGCGAAGGCAGCGGAAATGAAGTATCGAGATATGAGGGAAAGCACATTGACCAAGGCGGGATACTCGATGGATAACGTGATATCGATGGCAGCCAGGCCCACCAAGAAGAATGACGCAATCACGAGGAAACTAATGAACGTTTTCTTCCGTCCTAGTCTGAAAAGTCAAAAAAAAATCTAAGGTGTTTCATTAATTTTAAGGTGCCATAGGATGACGAATTGATGTGGCATATGGCTTATGAATCTCACTCTACCCCTGTTCAATCGCTTTAAATGCAAATTTCTAAAATGACCTCAATTTCATGAGTTTTCAGATAAATCCAACTTTTCTACTTTAATATAAAGTTAATTTTTGCTACTACAAAACTATCGATTTGAACAAAATTGCTACTACATTTTCCATCTTTTCACAATAAATTTCCTGAAAAATGCATTTAATTATTTTCAAATCGATAGTTTTCCAATACCAAAAATTTGCTTTACATGAAAGTTTTGAGAAAAATCTCCCAAAACTCATGAAATTGGTGGCATTTTCCAAATTTGCATTTAAACAGGGGTAAAATGAGATTAGAAATCTATGACTCCGTTATTCCACCTTAATTGCTACCTATTATTGAACAAAATCCCTGTAAAGCTTCCCGGCAGATCGAGAACCCCCATGTAAAACACGTTCCAGTATGGATTCCCATCCAAATGCTTCATGTTAAAACTGATCCCGTAATAAACCAATTGACACGTAAACCAGGCCACCATAAGAATCACTAATTGCACCCGAAACTCCTTAAACTTGAGGATTTTAAAGGATTCCACGATGGATAACGATTCCGAGGAGGAGTCCACGCTGTGGGTGATGCATTTTTGGAGCGTCTTTATCTCCGCAGGATCCATGCCAGGCTTCCTGTTCCATCTGGCAATCTTGTCGAAAACTTCCAACGCTTCTTCCGTCCTTTCCTTGCATAAAAGCCAGCGTGGGCTTTCTGGGAAAAAACTGAACAAAGAGAATCATGATCATGATTTCGTTATGATTTTTACTTTCACTTTCATCAGAGGTGAGAAAAATACTTTGTCAAAATACATTATTTTGAGCCCAGTTCTTTCCAGGGTTTTGATTTCCGGGGGTGTTCCACACATAAAAAGACAAGAATCTACGTGGAGAACACGATAGTCACACGAAAATCCAGTTTTTTTGGTGAAGTTAACTTTTGATCGCTGGCAAAATACATTGTTTTCACGATTTTTTTAAATACAATATTTCGACAGCGATAAAAAGCTAATTTCTGTACAAAACCTGTATTTTCGTGCGACTAACGTGTTCTCGATGTAGATTCTTGTCTTTTTGTGGGTGTAACAGCCCCGGAAATCAAAACCTTGGAAAGAATGGGGCTCAAAATACGGTATTTTATCAAAGTACCACCTCTGACTTTCATACACTCATCAAGTGGCGGTGGAAGCTGTGGGGACATCTGGGAGGTAGGAGCATTGTATGATTGGAAGTTATTACCAAAGGAAAGATACGATTTTGCTGAATTTCTGGGTGGACAATGTCCCCCTGCTTCCGCCCCCAATGACACAGGAAACTTACGGATAAGCGAAAAATATTAAAAAGGTGGGCAACGTCGTGGCAAAAGTTAAGTGTCTCCAGTGCGGGAGGTTGTACGCGATGAAGGCCAGCATCATTTCTCCCACCGCCCAGAGACTCACGCACCCACAAATCGTTCGGAACGATGGGGTCAAAAACTCCATGAGATAATTCATATAAACAACGAAACAACCTGAAAATTTGTTAATAAGGTAATTAGTTAAGCTAAGTTTTTAAAATTTCCGAATTCGGGTTAAAATTTCCGGACTCGATCATGGAATCATTCATGAGTATCGTCTAAACATTTTTGACCAACAAATTTTCCGGAAATTTCTCCGGAAATTTTGACCCGAATCAGGCGAAAGTTCCGAAAATTTTAAAAACGTACATACGTAGGTTTTCTAACTGCCTATTAAATAATTATCTGCTAATTAAAATTTCCATATTTTATACAAGACTTTGACTTACCACCAACCGCAAATCCTGCAACGAATCTGGTCGCAGCGTAGGAATAAGGGTCTGGCGCCCAACCAGACGCAAAACCAAAACCTCCCATGAGAAAGCACAATCCAAAATGGGCCTTCTTTCTCCCAAAACTGCAACCAATATTATTTTAATTAACGTAGGATTCAAATCGTCAAAATCAGCACGTTTTTAATCATTCTTCAGCTCTGGGAATTTATTTTAAATTTCTGGGAGACAAATTTGTAGAGCGTAAGTCGTTCCTAATTTTAAAAAATTACACTCCAGATTTTGACACTTTTCGAAGGAGATCTCAAGGTTAAGAATCCTTCAGAAAAATTGGAACTCATCGAAACTGGCTTAAAAACTCACCTCCATTCCATTAATTAACTCACTGACTACAAATTTGTCGCCCAGAATTTTAATATAAATTCCCAGAACGCAGATATTATTAAAAATGTGCAGATATTGACGACTTTGGTGATAAGTCATTGAGTTACAAAATAATATTTTTTCAGACCTTTCAGCAAACTGAGAAGCCAACAATGCACCCGTCATACTTCCCAGCATTTGCACACTGGTAACTAAATCTGACACCTGCACACACGAATTTTCAAAACATTTTAAAAATATACAAAAATTAGGAAAACGTATTTTAATAAATACAAAAAGTATCAGTACCCATGCTTTGCTCCCGACCAGTGACCACTGTAATTAATAAAGGACATGTCACACAAGAGTTTCAATAATTATTATGATATTTGTGATTATTTTTAGCATTGTCTCAGCTTGCCTCTTGCACAACGGAGGTGTAGTGATGTCCCATCGGTCTCAAAATCCCATCGCAGACGTCATCAGTCTTAATATCTTCGGCAGAAATGTTGAAACTAGCAAAAATTTGGAATTTTAAATTTGCTAATTTTTAAGTACCCCACTTTTTATTACATATTTCCATAAACTCAACCTTCTCCCTGTCAGGGTTTCGCAAACGAAGAGGACATCACTCGACCCCGTCAGAACGGGGGACAATGCAATCATTGCTGCCACTATTTCTGGAGATATTATCACTACCATGGCCCACATTTGGAACCAGGAAAAGCCTCCTGTCGGTCAAAATAAAGGCAATATTTAAAGACGTATTAGGCAATTAACAAAACTACGTTTTTAAAATATCCATAACTTATTTCCCTGGGTCAAAATTTCCTGAACCAATTATGAAATCATTCTTGATTAAGTGTCATCTGAACCTTTTTCATATTATTGTCTCCAGAAACTTTGACCGGAGATAATATTAAAAATGTTTAGAAGACACTAAAGAATGATTTCAAAATCGACTCCAGAAATTTTGACCCAGTCCAAGAGATAGGGAAAGTTACGGAAATTTTAAAAACCTAAGTTTCCTTCCTGCCTATTTAAAAATTATGTAATGTAGGATTTTATTTTACCAAGTTTTTCAAATACATCCTCCACACTAATGAGTGTCACTACTTGGCCAAGAGATCCACGCGCTGTGGCCATCTCAGAATCGGTCAGATTGCATTAAATAAATTTCTTTAGTACATGTAGATACGTCCCCTCCTATTTTTGACGCAACATAATGATAATATTTGTTATTATTTACATTTATGTATGTATATATACACTTCTTCACTTCCAGGCAAGAAAATTCTACGATTATGTGAAGTGAGTCATAAAAATGAAATTGATTACTAAAAGAATTACGGCGTTCAACTTGTACTACAAATTTATACTGTGAGTATAGGACTATAAATGCACAATAAATATATGCACAATGCCCACGCGGGTTCAAAGTATGTATGCAAATTACATTAGTTATTCTTATTTACTATTTTGAAAACTTCTTATTATTAGCCAATCATGAATTGGTAGTTAAATGTTATACACGACACGAAGGTTGAAACAATGAGTAAACAAAATACATGGAAAACAATTAACAACAATGAGTTTACTTTATGCCTGTAATTACCCTCCGAATCACTTTTGAACAGTAGATGCCTATTTATCCAACAAAAAGTCAGACAAATGTTAATTAATCTTCGTTATTTGCGTATGTGTGTGTCCTGGTTTTACCTTAAAGTTCTCCAAACTTTACTACTACGCATGCATTTCTATTTTGAATTTCATAAATAATTCCTAAATATATTTCTGCCTATTATGATCTTTCTTATAGGGAATTTAATTCCACGTTTAGATTTAGATATTTATTTATAAAAGGATCTAATTGCATATGTATGTATTATGCAAACAGAAATACGCTTACTTACAAAGAGAGCGTGCGTTGGTTGATTGGATAATAAATACGTACATAAAGTTACTGGAAATGATTTTAATCAATTTACAAGTGTAATTATTTTCTGGATATTTTGGAATACACAAAAAAATGATCACGAGTATCTCGAGTATTCCTCGTATTTTATACACCTCAGAAAGATTAGCTCGAGACTCATATCTTAATAATTATGCTAAAATTTTTAATAGCTCAATTACCGTCAAGTCAACCGTGGTCTCCCCTCAAACTACCCGAGATTCAAAATATATACGTCCTTATATTTATTAGGAATACGATTTATTTAAAGTGGATCATCGTTTTGTTGGAAGTCGGATTGTACTCACTCGGTATGCATGTAAACATCATATGCATACGTAGCGGATATCTGCTGTATGATGATGATGAACAATTAGATTCAAATCCATTATTTGCATTGTACCGATGTCGTCAGACTTCAGTATTCGTATGATAATTGAAGATCGGCACATGCAAGTTACACAGATAACAATACGGCTCATTCAAGAAAGTTCAAAAATTTTACATAGGTACACAATCAATGTGGTTTAACTAAACATACATACATATTTGTATTCTGGTAAAGGTTTAGGCTCCCGTCAGTTCATGACGGTCATGGACAAATTTTTTGTCACGAACCCAGTACCACCATTCTCATTTGACTTTAATAACTTGTTAATACTGAAGTTCAAGAGATACTATACAATCTGTTTCCGTTTCTGTAGAACACAATAATTATGAATACAATTATGAATTGATAATTCGTGACAATGTTGTACCTACATTAAAAACGAAGTATAATTACTGCTTGTAAATACATACATATTTTACAAAACATGTATTTTCAAGTTATTATTTGTGTGTATCTAGTTAATTCTGTGGAAAGTTATGATTCGTATTCAGTGGCGGCGGAAGTTGGGGGGGGCACATGGGGACATTAGCATTGTGAGATAGGAAGAGGAGGGGCTTATTAAAGATAGGATTTTTCTGAATTTCTGGGGGGACAATTAATGTCACTCTGTTCCGCCGAGACTGTTCGTATTCTGCATACATAATTGTATTCAAGCGGCCCATTAACGATGTAGTTTATTACAAAAAAACATGGATTTTTAACTTTGAAATATAATTAAATACTACTTATGTATATTCTCACCGGAAATGCAATTAATTTCTTTATGTGTGTTGCATTTTTAAGTTATAATTTAATTACTACTGTGACATTTTGTAGGAAAATTACAAATCTCATTTGTTAATATGAATAGGATTGCATGTCATCTCGTACAACCAGAAATCTGATCCATGCATTTTTATAATTTTATTGTTTGATGGATTTTTACAAATCAAAAAAAAATGTATACATATATATCCATTTAAATAATTGGTAAAACTTTGATTAGATTTGCAGCTAGTGTATTTATAATTTTTGAAATGGTTAACTTTTTAAATTACATGTGACACTTAGTTAATTAACAAAATTTAACCACAAGGGTGAGTTACATATATACCCCTATTTATTGGTGACCTAGAGGAAATCATAATTTTGCTGTATTATTAAGTACTAATTACATAAACAAAACTGACTCAATCGACTACAGAAGAAGGAGATTGCGGATTCTCATTTAACGATCCATAACGCAGCAAAAAACAGAGGTGACAGGGCAATAATTATTATTAAAATATTGGAAAATCTATGTTATTTATTAGCATAAAGTATATACATATTTGTAATAAATATGTATGTATCCATGTGGTACATAGATAATGGAGACTGGTGAGTCACAGATCACGCAGTTTTATGTACATATTCATTGGTGGGGAGAGTCATTAATAGTGAAAATGAACCAGCAAGAAATGAACCATTGGTTGTGGTTTTTGGTACTTGACATTTTTAAAACAAGGTAATGGCCAACAGTGGCCGCGGACACTGTCCCCACGGTTATTCGATGTCCCCTTCATCTGCCCATCTTATATAAACCACTCCCTCCCCTATCCTACAATGCTAATGTCCTCACTGCTTCCGCGGCCGCTGATGGCCAATGTAGTAGCGGTGTAGACTACACCGTGTAGTCGTAACAAGGTAATAGCCAACAGTGGCCGCAGAAGGACAGAGGGACACTGCCCCCCACGGTTATTCGATGTCCCCATCATCTTACCCTTCCCTCCCCTATCCTACAATGTTGATGTCCCCACATGTCCCCACCGTTTCCGCGGCCACTGCTCGCCAATGTTGTTGCGGTGTAGTCGTAAAGAACCTTAACAATCTGTGCCTCCTCCGATGAACCTTTTGAAAAATAAGGTTGTTGCTGAGTAATGCGTTATTATGACGCCGTTTACCATTTAGCGTTGGAAAGTACCGTTCACCTCAACCGTGTCCGTGTCACTTTGCTGCCTGTGCAATGTCAAAAATACGCGATTGTATTGTCTTTGTGATTACAAAGACAAGGTTTTTTGGGTTAAATAAATGAAACATTGCTTTATTCCCTAAATCCATGTACCTTAAGTTAAATCAGTAACAATTGGATATACTAAATCTGTGTAAAACCTGACTAAATATTTTACCTGAACCTGAAGAATTGTTGTTGCTTGTTAACTCTTAAAACCTTAGAATTGAAAGAGAACCCTGAAAATGATTTTGAGTAATTTAAGTGCCAAAATTTATTTTTTTAAATGTGTAAACTATACTAAATAATCTAGTAAGATGATTTCTGCAAGCTTCATTCTTAAAACTAATTGTAAGATCTGGGAATTTATTTAAAAATTCTGGACCACAAATTTGCCGTCAGTAAGTTGAGCTTTTTAACCTAGTTTCGACTTTCGTTCCAATTTTTCTAAAGGTTTCCTAAACTTGAGATCTTCTTCAATAACTGTCAAAATCTGGAGTATATATTTTTTTTTAATTGGCAACTCCCTACTCTACAAATTTGTCGTGCAGAATTTTAAAATAAATTCCCAAAGCAGAGAAATGATTTAAAAAATGATTAGAAATCATGCTCTGATTAGTCAATCTCCTCCTTCAAAAAGTGTCAAAATCTGGAGTGCATATTTTTACAAAATTGGCTACTCTTTACTCTACAAATTTGTCGTGCAGAATTTTAAAATAAATTCCCAGAGTGAAGAAATCATTAAAAATGTTCTGATTAGTCATCGAGTTCAACTAGCCACACCGATATATTTACATCAAACATACATCTCATCTCATATTCTACATATTCCCAAGTCAGTCAGTGATAATGATGAAACAGTGTTTATTTTGTTTTATATCTACACTTCCCCATATGCCATGAATCAATGCTGAATGCGAATGTTTACATGACATGAAATCCAGCCAGCTAGCAGACCACCTTTAGCTTTAGCAGAGATCCACTCCACTTTTCTTCCTGTGTTCATCATCTCTTTGTTCTTTCCCATCTAACCCATGCTAACCAATCCTCCTAAATGGCTCAAACTTGCAACAGCGCCCAACTTATTCCGATTCCAAGCACTGTAAAGTAAAGCAAACTCCTCCACACAGCCTGCTGCCTAGTGCTGCAAAACCAAACTGCAAATATAACGGGCGGAGTGTGCAGAAATTTCGCTAAAATAAAAGCATGCAAAAAAGAACTATGCAAATTCCTAGTCTCAACGCCATTTTAACAAATCTACAATAAAAAAAAAATATTTTATTAAATGAAAAAAAGTATAAAATTTTACTCAGCGGCGTCGAACCTTTACAATTCTTTACTTTCTGGAGAAAGCAATAGCAAACATTTTGCTAAAGTAAAGTGTATGCAAAACTATGCAATTTCCTAGTCTCAACGCCATTTTAACAAATCTATCAAAAAATATATTTTTTTAAATGAAACAAAACTAATAAATTTTCCTCAGCGGCGTTGAACTTTACAATTTTACTTTTTGGAGAAAGCAAACTCTGTTCATGAAGAAAATTCCTAACAAAATCTTTGAAAAAGTCGGCACAATTTTGACTTAAAGAGTCACGTAAAGCATCATTTATCCTCAAAAATCATCCACTAACTACATCCATATTATACACATCTCTCTCTCCTACTACTTACTTACTGTAAAGAAGAGACACGGCTAAAATAAGGCAACCAGGCCCGTCGTATTTTGTGTGAGTAAAGCAGCAGCAAGTTCAAAGACCAGCAGAATGGATGGAGCAAATCAATCACATACAAAACTTGCTGCTACTAAAAACCTTAAAGGAGCTCCCTTCTTGTAAACTAAACATTTAGTTAGTCTCCACTACTTCTCTTATATTTTAGACTTAATTAAATACGAGGGGAGCTCGTCTGGTGGTCATTCTCTGGATGGAAAAGATGGATCCAAATCTGGCTGGATTTCTGACAGAAAAGGATAACATTTTCGCTTTAATGTGACGACAGATTAAATAAAACCGTTTGTTTGTTTGTGTTTTACTTTTCCTCCGAGTGTTGACACGGAACTGTTTCGAGTAAATAGTAAAGACAATTAAATATAACGTGGTTGGTAGTTTGGTTCAGATAAGAGAACGGCGAATATCGTGGTGTATAAGCGCACGCAGAGGCAGAGTGTGTCAACCACCCGGAGGGTGTGGTTGAATTTTTAACCTTATCCATCCATTACCCAATGGTTCCCAGATAAGTTGAATAGATAACTGTGCAATGATCTTGTGAGTTAGGAAAGTCTTTTTGGAAAATACGAAGTTTTACATCTTTATTTTGTTTCTGTGCCGAGTTTTACACAAATTTTGTGAACAAAAAAGGTCTTCTTTCAATAAAAAGTGATCGACTTTAACCTGCTTCAACATGGCTGGAAATAATGTAAACTGTTCTTTGGACGATATCGACTTGGCTTGCCTTAAGGTAAATTTTAATAGTTTTTCTTTATCGTTGTTGTGATTCTGTTTACGACTTAAATCGGTTTAGTTATAATAGCGGTGTAAAAACATATGTGTGTAGTTTTTATATCGTCGGGTTTTTAGTACTATTATGGCTATAATATTCAACCATTAGGATTAAATAAAATATTCAAATGAGTATAAGCAAGCGGAAATGGCAAAAGTTATTATTATAATGACAATTATTCAGAGAGAATTATCAGGCATTGACAAATCGTCACTTCCGTGCGAGCATTAATGCGTGTGATGATGATGAATAA